GAAAAAAAGACAATTTCGGAGTGTCTGTTTAGGCTAATTGCAAATAGCACATCTAGTTGGACTAAGCTATTCAGGGTTTACGCCCACCGATGCCTGATTGATAGAGACAAGATGAGTAAAGAGCAGTGAAATAATACAGTAGCAATGGCGCACTTTGTAAGGCGCACAGCAACATCTTTTGACGAGATTAATCATAACATCGGTTCGAATCCACCATCAGCTGAACTGGTGCTACTTTTTTTTCTTTTATCAGATTGGAAATATATTTATTTTTAACAGGAAAGAAACATTTTTTTTTTTTAAATAATGCAAATGTGATATAAAGTCACAAGTGTCTCGTGGGTATTTAATTAAGTTTTTTGCCTTATTATAGGCGCCTGCCGCGCCTCCCTCTCTGCAAAAACTCTATTGCTCAGACAACTGTATTTCCTCTGAGCAAAAAAATCGCGATCACGTATTAATATTATTATTATATTTAAACTGCCTTTCTTTAACTAAACAGAATGCTGTAATTGGTCAAGCGCGGAAACGTCGGTTTTGTAATAACCTGCACTAAACTGAGCGGACTTTAGTGTAACGTTATATCTGTCATAGATCAAAAATGAGTGGACAAGTGGATTTAGCAAACGCGAGAGAAAGAGGAGAGGAGGCATCTTTATTGAGGCATTTTCCATACACACCATCTTTAAACAGACCCGTGATCAGGAGAATGAGGGTACAGAAGAAGACATTAACTTTAAATGATGAGTAGCTAGCATTAACCAGGCGGAGGAGGCTAACGGCAGCGCAGCGCGGACTGGATTCATCGTGTGAGAGACAGACAGAAAAGGAGAGAGAGAGAGAGAGAGAGAGAGAGAGAGAAAGGCCCAGAAGAGGAGCGAGACGGGAGAGAAGAGGTATAGTGTGTGTGATTTCGGATACTTTTAGGTTTATAATCAAGTCTTCATCTCGAGAAGAGTAGAGAAAATACAGGGAGAGGAGGAGAGAGACAGTAAATCAGTGTTTGTATTATGAAAGTCTCAGATTCATAGAACTGGATTGGAGAAGCATTGTGCGTTATATCCATGGCAATAATATGCTTTATAAGTTTGTAAAAGCAATTCGCATTAAAATACCATATATATATATAATATTATATATATATAGTTTTATTAGTATTTTTTAATGCTTTGAAAAATAATTTAAATCTTTGTAGACTATAAATACATATGTACTATATAATTTATTTAAATATGTGGGCAACAAATTATAGATTCATTTTATTTAAAAATTATTATATTATTCTTATTTTTTAAGTTCAACTATTGGGGTGCGGCCAGGTAGGGGGGCCTTACAAGACAATGTGCCCAGGGGCCCCTGAGTTCTTAATCCGGGCCTGTGTGGTACATTCCCTTTCCGTAGGGAATCTGTAATTGTAAATTTGTTTCGGGACTTGTAAAAGTGTTTTGCGTCTTGTTCATTTGTTTTCTAAAATGTAAATTGGTTTCGTCCTTTGTAAAATTGTTTTCCCTATGTAGTTGTGTCTGATGATTAGTAAAAATGTTTTTCAAAATGTAAATTTGTCTCGAGCTTTGTAAAAGTGTTTCAAACTTTGTAATGTTGTTTTGCACTTCCCGGCCACCGTAAATATAGCCTTAATATTATAGTGATATTAACGTACTGCAAACTGAGTAACTACATCATTTTGACTATGTTATGTCTTTCAAAACTGAACGAGTTCTGCTGATAATCCGCTTGTTAAGTGGTGACGTGTTGGTGACGTATGTAATACTGTTTCCGGGTCCAAGCCGCCACTCATTTGAGTTGAGAAATCATTCGTTTATGATCACGTTTTATTCCTATCACACATTAAAGTTAATTTTACATAAAGTCATTGTGTACACAACAATCGCTGGGCTTGCTGCATAACAAATACCAAAAATTTTACAATTTATAAAACAATGAATCACTTTCCAGCCATTGATTCAACCACTCAGAATTTTTAGGAACCACCTAGCAACACCCTAGCAACCACTTAGCCACCACCTAGCAACCACTCAGTACACCCTAGCAACCACCTACCAACACCTTAGCAACCGCCTAGCAACACCTTAGCAAGCACTCAGAACACCCTAGCAACCGCCTACCAAGCAACATGCAAATCTATACTAGAAACATGCAAACATATTTGTACTTATCTATGCCGACTGTTTCAAACTTCATTGTTATTTACACTTTGAAACCACTTCAAACTTTCAGACTCGGCTTTTCAAGCCACCACAACGTTTGTGCTCAAACTTTAATATCTAATACGTGATACTTAAATCATCTTGTGCACATCTAACAGACAGTTTTTGGTCTTCTAAATCTATTGTTTGTTCTCGGGTGTGTTCTTTTGTCAGTGAGTATCTGACATCCCCTCATCAGTGTGGAGTTTTTCCTCAACGCTCAATCAGTTTTTGAGCTGTAAAATCAACAGAAGGGTTAAAGAGGAGACGGATGTCTCTCCTACACCCAGTGCAATCACATTATGGGCGCGCGGATGTTTCAGCGGTTTCCTTTGGAAGTAAGGATTGCATGTCTGAGCGAATGAAGTTAGCGGCTCATTAAAAGTGTTTTTTCCCCTCTGTTCAGTCCCGTTCTGAGAGCTTCATGAATTTGAGTTTGGAGAGGTAATCGAATGAGCGTCTCTGGAGAAAATCCAGCCGTCCTCTGACAATAATATCAAGCAAACACAGGACCGCTTCACTCCAGCAGGAATTTATCTGTTAGCCTTTACGGACTTTGAGGAATAATAAAACCTGAAATGGAAATTCTGTAATCAGCTTCCTATCCTCGTGTCGTTTCTGAACACCTGTGCACATGTTTTACTCTTCATATTTCTCATGACGTTCTCCCTGTGTTAACTGTGAGTGTTTGTAATTCTATTAGAAATAAAAGACGCATGTACCAGTATATGAATTAAGTTCCACAGATGAACATTTTAACTTCATATCTTTCAGAGATAATAATTTGGTTTCAAATATTATGTTTATCATTTGCTGCTCTTGGAAGAGATAAATGGCAAAATTATTACTTTATTTTATTTATATAGTATTAGAAACGCTTTTGCACACACACACACACACACACACATATATATATATATATATATATATATATATATATATATATATATATATATATATATATATATATATGTGTGTGTGTGTGTGTGTGTGTGTGTGTGTGTGTGTGTGTGTGTGTATGAGTAAAAAAATATATTTTTTTATAT